AATAACTATCTTTGAAAGGATGTTGACATCTGCCTGGCGGTTTGAGGTGTTGCAGTACACAATACCACAGTATGGGAGCAGGCCATTGGCATCTGTTGCCTGTTGCTAATGACAAAACTGAAAAATGCTATCTACTTCATTTGAGTTAAGAGATGAGGATTTGATATGGTATTTCAGGAAGGAACCAGTTTTCTTTCCATTGACTCTTTTGCAAAGGGATTAGCTTTGAAAATGAGGTCAGTGAGCTGGATTATTTACCAAAGCCCACAAAAGGTAAAGCTGAGACACTTGAGCAAAGATCTGAGAATAATGAAAAAAGTGTTGCTGAGACATGGAATCTTTAGCTGAGCACTTGTCAGCTCATGCCAGGGTAAACATTTTCATTTGTGAAAGTTACCTCTTTTCTCTGAGTTGCTTCAATGTGACAAACTGCACAGAGCTTTAGATATGTAGGTGTATGTTTGACATCTTTCTGTTTCTATTTGGATAGTACGACATCATTCTTAAAACTTTCCAGTCCCTTGGATCCTAAAACATAACTTGTAAAGACAAAATCTTGCTGAAGTTTCGACAAAAATGTTTTCGATGATTTTTGGAGAAAACAAATGTATTGTATATATCGTATATATCATGTCCAACAAATGAACTGTCTTGAGTTCACGTTGAAAAGTCTGTCAGCTTCCCACATAGCACCTTTACTGACATTTTATGTAATTAGAGTGCAGATGACCACTTACTGTAATGTGTTATTAACTCTGTGAGTGGCCTCCAGTAGAGGTGTGAATGAAAACCTTCAGAAATGAGCACTAAGTGCCACCTTTAATAACGGACAGCTTGCTTTTCTTAAGTGTGACTATAATCTAAGCCATAAAAGGTTAGAGAGAAGGCTCCAAGCACAGATATACCTAGTATTGGAGGTTAAAGCTTAGCAACAGTAATCATATGGCAGACAGTTGAGCTGAAAGTTTTCCAGGTTTTATGTGAATCTACAGCAGCAACATCTGCTGATTCAATGGTTACCATATGTTTTTTGTCACTTGTCAGAAAAACAAGGCAGACAATTATGACAAGTTTCTCCATCATCATAATTATTCAGAATATTTACTGGAAATTTGATAAAAGTCGCCCCATTACCTTTTCTAAAATGTACTACTTTGCACTGCCTTTTTTAACATTTACTGCTGTATGCAGTCTCAAAGAGATATTTTCTATGAGCCATAATCTTAAAAAGCAGTCAATTCCAAAAGCAGATAAGGAACCAATGCAACCTAATCTTATAGAAATGTGTATGAAAAGGGAAACAACTTTTGGGGAAATATTTATTATTATTATTTATTATATTTTGAGGATTGGACTAACCATCTGTTTACCACCATCTATCTGACCAGACCTGTCGAGTGGGTACAATTGCATCAAACTCTTTCTGACGTTACAAAGGAAAGGAGCAAAGCTAACTGACTGAATGACACATTGTAAAAAAATGACCTTTTGCTAAATGTGTTGACTCTAACACACTGCATGAGGCTGACATGAAATTTTAATGTTTGACACCACCACATACTAATGTGTCATTGGGTTGTGGTCATTTCACATATTAAAGGGAAGCAAGGGTGAAGACAAGCACTGTGTTTTTATATTCTACATGTGTTCACTTGATTAAAATTATGACTAAGGTCTGGTACAAAGTTCATAAGAACAACTAAATGTGAAAAACCTGTCAAAACACAGGAGTTTTTTCTTTAGGAAAGTAATAAGCAAGTGTTGCTAGTGAAAGATTGACTTGTTTACTTTGAAATTCAAAGGCATTGCCATGAATAATGTCAACTTTCAGCTTCAGTGTATTTATGACAAGCCAACGGGTGACAGAATGAATAGCTACATACACTTATCTATGACATCAATGTTACCCTATCATAAACCATGTGAAGTGAAGCATGACGTCTTAAAACTCTTTATTATGAACATTGCAGCTGCAAATCAAAGGGCATTACGTTGATCTGTGCTTACAGTTAGACAATAGATAATTTTATGGTCCTTAAGAAAATAACTGGTTCAACTTCATGTATGATACTTCAAGCAAAGCTCTTTCAATGTTTTTCACTGACCTGAAAACACTCCAATGTCATTTACTCACTGAGCTGTGCTGAATCCCAGCTTAAGTACAATCCATCACTGTACCTTCCATAAAAAGTACAAACATAAGCCCACCACCTTAAAAGATAGCTTCCCTCAAGGTTAAAGTCACATGTACTGGATTACATAAGAGTCTCGAAATGAAATGAGCAAAATTTCTTATAATGGTTTATAAATCTGTTTTGCATGCTACATTGTATCTTATATTCATTACAAAATGACCTGCAACTAATAATAATTCAAAGTACTGGGTTTATATATAAATATACATGTATTATCACATCACATAGCATCACCTGCATTGACATATTCTGTTAACACAAACTAACCACAGTCAATTTCCACTTGTGAGAACATGACTAATATTCACACCGGGTTAACTCTTAACGGCTGTGATATTGTCACATTTGATTATCTGATATTTCATTCTCCATGTCAGCTCATGCATATATGATAAAATGCTACCTTTTGGGGGCGGTTATAGGCTTGTATGAATGTACAAATCTGGGACACTCAGCTAAAAGCCTCTGATGTGTCAGCTATCTGTGACATCAACAAGAAGAGGGACACCGCATTCTAAAATCCATCTAATTTGACATGTAAAATAGAGAAAAAAATGTACCAATAAACAAGCAAATGCATATACACATCCACTTCATAGAAATCCCCAGGAATGTACATTAGAATTAAATGGGACAATTTCCAGCTTTAGAAAGTAAAAAGCAATTACATTAGGAATATCCAAATTTAGAAATAGCCCAGTTGTACCTGTAAGCCTGTGCGCACCGCCTGTAGCTCTTCTTAAGCTGTGTGTGTCAGTTTATTGTGATGACAGCAATTAAATACTCTAGTGATTTGTGTGCCATTGGTATTATGACTTATCCTACTGCATGCCCTGCTCTCTATAACTGGATGGGAACAATGTTTTCGGAATCCACTGCTGGTACTTCAGCAGGAAGCAGCATGAACACACACAAACAAACAACAAAAAAAACACACCAATCCTCAAAGCGTTAGCCATCAAAGAGTGGAGAAACCATACAAGTGGTTAAGGTGACACAGGAAGACCTCTGGCGAGGCTGACACAATACACAATATTTTCTGCTTAAAGCAGACAACGAATTCTAGTAGTGTCCTTATTCCCAGTTTCAAAATTAATCTGGGGATATGTGTTTGTGACCACACAGAACATTACTGGATTTAGTAGAACACAAGGGATAACTTACCAAAGCCCAAATTAGAAGCTGTGGGCCATGTACGGCCATATTTGTGCTTCATCAGCATTATCTCAAATTCTCCCCATGGCTTTCCTTCTGCTACATCCAAGCTGGGTTTTTAGCATTTTGTCTGTACAATAAGGTTTAAGCTTAGTCCACACTGTACCAGTCAGTATCAAGTATGACAAAAGGCAAACCAATACTCCCAAATTTGACTTTTCATGTTTTGCAAACAACTGACAATTATTGAAACAGCATGTCACACTGCATGTTATTTGTATGGATCTTGACAGTAATCATTGCAACATCATTGTAATTTAGTATGGGTTTCAGAGTTTGAAAGACACAAAATGCCAAACAAATGAATAAATTAATGAATGAAACAATTAATAACAATTATGTTTTTTTAACTTATCTGAAGTGGTCCAGTGAAAAAAAGATAAATTGCATTAAGTAAACATGAAAAATGTATGTGATAAAAAAGGCTAAAATATGCATCTCTTGTCAGAACCATAAACGGATAAAACTATGGAGATGACACTTACCTTGGAAGGATAGAGAAATGGATTTCCTTTGTGTTTTTGCAAGTGTGCAAGTGTGTAAAGTGCCCATAATACAATCTACAAATTTTATATGGAGACTATGCTTAAGGCAAGGCTGACTGAATGTGGTTAGAGGAAATATTCAGGAACTTCTCATTGTAATGTCCTCTGAGATATGTCTCTGCATGCATGAGCATGAGTGTTTGAAGGATATTGTGTAGGCCTATATATCATATAGCTTTAAGGCCAATTTATCGTTACCTTATGCATCTACACAGGCTTAAAGGTACACACATCCAGTCCCATCAATACCTTTTACATTTCAAGTATGAGTCATTCTGGAATATCATTCTCGGAGCATTTCAGGGATTGATATTACAAAAGAAATGGTGATATCACAGAGGCAAGAAAAAGAGCTCCTTTGTTGCCAAATGAACAAAAATTGGTAATATTAGTTAAGAAGAAAATAGACCAGTGGATCCTCACAAACATACTCTTGTAATGAATTGTACAGACTGTGAAATTAGGTCAATCCTGTTGTACAGTCTGTTATTAAAACAGACTTAAATTCAACAGTATTGTTTCGATAGCTCAGGTGACTGTTGCATTATCAGTTTTATTCACGCTGGGCAATGACTTTAGGATTCCCTCATCTCTGCTTATAATGCAAGATACTGTTGGAAACCATGAATTGGCCTTTAAATATGAAGCAGCAAAACAATTAAAATAAATCTGCACTGAATGATTCCTTAATGATTAACCACTCGACCACTTACCTGCCAAAGCGATGCTCCAGAAGTACATGATAAGCTATTACATTTAACACAGCACAATAGCTGCTAATAACTATAACTAATGATCCAGTAAATGTTAAAAGTTAGGATAATATTTAGAAATACAAACCAGTTTCAGATTCCGAGTCAAATACTTGAAAAAAATAAAATGTACTTAGCAACACAATATGATGTAATGCTATTATGAAATTAGCTATCTACACGTATTACCACTTAAGAACATCACAATACCAAAAACTAAGCAGGACTTGCTAAATTCTGCAATACTTAACATAAAAGATTCCAAGTTTTACCTTGTATGCTCAGTAGGGACCTTAGAAGCCAAGTTTCCCCTCTCTGCCCTGAGGAGGAGAGTCAAATGGGAAAGATCAGAAGTCCACTTACCCCTCAGGGAGAAGAGGTGAGGATCACAGCCAGGATGGGAGGCCCATAACACTATGATCAAGACTCATAAAACTTCAGTCCATGATTGACAAAAAAATACTATTTTTTTTACCCCTGGGAACATATTTATTGGACCTGGTAAGTAACTATTGTATTGTTATTCACATATGTGTCCAATGTATTGCTCCTATGCATCCAAGCTGTGTGTTGTGTAAGAAGCACCTACCTTGACAATATTCAATGTAATTTTCTCTCTTATGAAAAACTTTTCTTTGACCTTATATTCAGTCATCAGCATGAGTGTACAATGCCACAAATAATCACAAGGTAAATGATTTTGGGGGATTAAAAGTGGTGGTACCTTTACTTTTACCTATGAGATTTGATGAAATGTTCCATGAAGAAAGCAGATTCCAGACAAAAAAGGAGAACAAGGGGAGAGGAGACACCAATACGTGTCATGGAATAGTTGGAAAAAGACAGAGGCTTGATGGCTACAAATAAGAGTGGTAAGACGGAGTGTAAAAATGAAATGAAAATAAATCTGCCACAAAAATTCAATATGCGGTACTTCTCAAATGGAAAGCTCGACATGGATATAATGGGTAGACTGTGTGCAGATGCTTGCAACGTGCATCACAGAAGTAAGCACAGATAAGGATTAGCCTAAAAACTCATATCTATATTGGACCACTGTAAAATACAGTCAGACAATAAAAAAGCAAGTATTGCCTTACTTAAACCACCACAATTACCAAAAGCAGGAAAAACAGAAATAATGTATTAATAAAAGGAAATATATATGTAGGACAAAATGGCATTGCCATCCAGCAGAGCATGGAATTGAAAGGTAGATGAGCTTGAAAAAAGGTAATATGAAAAACAAAATTATTGCGAGACTGAAAATCATCACGGTCAATGAATATAAGGGAACTGACAGAAACTGGTATCTGAAGCTTCAGGTCTGCATAGAAGTTAAGGGTACGCATGTTTTTGATAACAATGGGAACAGGGGGGGACAATGGAGGAATGGCGGGAATAGGAATAGAGCCCATACCTTGGTCGCCCATCATCAGGTGTGCCAGACCTTAAAGGAAAACAAGAGTACAGTCAGCAGAGAACAAGGGATCATGGGGAACTGTGTGACACTGACATGCAGGCATCTCTTTAACAGTAGATGTCTGTGTTATCTGAGGAGTGTTGGGATAAGGGAAAATCAGGGTGGAAAGAAGGAGTAGGGAGCACAAACAAGGTTAGCCGGATGAGCATTTGATCAACCAGCACTGGTTGGAATGCATCATCAGCCTCTTACTACAAATCATTCAGAATCTTAAATTCAAGATGATCGTTCATTTGGATCCCAACAAGACACTGTAAAGTACAATATCTGTGCAAAGAAATGGACTCAGTGTGTTTGATTTTTATCAAATATTTTAGTCTCATTTGAAACTGGGAAATTAAATAAAAGGAAAAAAAAAGGATTTGAATTAATACAAAATCTGTATTTACAATTAATTGGTAAATTTTTCTCTTCTAATTTTAATTGCATTGGGTTGTTTGAATGCCAGATAAATAAAATAATTTTTGCCTTAAGAATGTAGGACGATTTTTTGAATTGTGTGTAAATTGTGCGAATATTGTATTCTTGAAAGGTTTATTTGACAGCATCATTAAGGTAATTTAATCATGCAAGTTTGTTAATCTGAATAAAAACTGATCTCCTGATAGCCAGAAAAATTAACAACCAGCAGGGAGCCAAACAAAGCTATGAATTTAGTAAAAATGAATGCATTAAATGTATGTATTGCTGTTGTTTCATGAAATATTTGAATAATTCAACTGGAAAATAAAACTACAATGTTATGTCTTATGCTTGCCTATAATGTTAAGATTTAAATATAGTATTCGTTCTATAATATATAGCAATTCCTCACAGACTTTTACCTAAATATACATTTTTCAACCATTGATCTTTTATGTTATTTGGGTACCGTATTCTTTTTTTTTTATTAGTTTATTGTTTCTGCCGTCATGGTTGTATTGTATAACAGATTGGAGAGACAAAAGACAATAAACAAAATGACAATAAGACACTTACCAATCCAGTTACATCGAAACCTTCACCACAAAAATAACTTTTCTTGGATTTTTTTAAGAGGCCTCGTCCAATAAAAACAGCAAATAGAATATAAGCTGGAGTGAGGCAAATACTGAACATACCCACCTTCAGTGTAGTTGTCTTCTGGAAGCAAAAACAGGCAAAGAGAGAAAGAGGAAGATATTCATTAAGCAGCATGCAGACTAGTACTGGCCTTTGCATGTTGTTACCATGCAAGGCATTAAACATCACATGCAAATGACCTATTGTAACTCCTGCATAGGAAATAGTGATTTATGGACCAACCTCAATTTGCTGTTACCCTCAGACTTAGCCCCCTTATTTTTGGCATTGGAGTGAGGAGTGAAGGAATGAAAAAGTCTACATGTCTCATAACTGGCATCATAGTAAAATTTAAGATCCAGTATTGATCAAAATGCATAAAAGTCAAGGAGATAAACAACTAAGCATCTTAAGGCTATTTCATTTAGTCATGACTGACTCATTAAATCTTTGGCTCCTGACTAGCTTTTAAATATCACCGGCTCGTAACTTAATGTATCAACAAGAATTAGCTTTAACAGCTTTTGTTTTTATGTTAAACGAGAAGCCAGCGTGAGTAACAAAATGCAGTGCAAGAGAAAGTAACGTAAATAAAAAGACCTGTCTCATAAAGCAACATCTCATGATCACATTTCAGAGCAGGCGATGGGGTCTCATGTTACTGGAAATCCATTCAGGTAATTCACTCACAGCAATGAAGGTAAAGACAAATAAGAATATGTTGGCAGTGCAAAATGTGATTTCCACCTAAATTAAAATGTCCTGACAATAATTTTAGCAATCAAGGTCAGGTCTGTGGAAGCAAAATGAAGAATGCTGCTATTTGACATCTGCCTAACAAAGGAGATTGAGATCATAATTACATGTTTGTAAAGTAATATAAAATAGGTTACATAAATATTATGCCAACAGTGGGGAAATAAACTTATTTGATAAGATGATCTGCCTGGAAGCTAGCAAAAATAATCAATTCAAAATGTATAATGTCCCACATGCACTGGCCATAGAAATTATATTTATTTTTGATTAGAGACTCTTCTTAGCATTTACTATTATTTATCATTAAAAATCAGTTTTATCATTAAAACCGTGAATGGAGACTTACAGGATACCATAGAAGATATCACGAAAAGAACAGAAATATTGATGAGATTATATCTTTTGGAGTTTAGACAACGATGGACTAAAATGATCAAAACATTGCCATGCAATATTTACACATGGAAAATGGTTCTGCATACTACCTAGTTACGATAACCATGCAGCCAAAAAGGCACAGTGTTTCAAATTTTGCCACAAGCTAAACTCCTACCTCGTCAGACTGATTTCTTGTCCAGAGTTAAACACTCTATTTTTGACCCAAAACTTACCGTCGTCACTGGATCCATTCCCAAATCAGACATCATGCATAAAGTCAAACCAAATCATCAATTTGAGAGCAAATTCTAATACAATTAATCACTGCTTTGCTTAACATGACAACTTCAATTTTGTAAAGTTTTTTAGAATTCAATTATGTTTTCTATATGAAAAGTTATTCCTGTGGCATGTCATAAACACAGTAGTGTCTCATTTATCAAAGCCCTTCAATGCTAAAAAATGACACACACAATTTCCATTTAATTTGAAAGAGTTTGATTAAAACTGATGGAAACATGTACGTCTGAGTCTTTTCCAATCAAAAGGACAGAGCTTTTAGATAAATGAGAGTATGTTGTTAGAAAGTACACAAACATGCACATTGTTCACAAAAATGTTCTGTTTGATGATGAGAAGCACACTGCTGAAAAGAAAAAAAAAACATTCTTTGAGGGCAAGCAATAAGCTGGCAATTGCAGAAAGACCAAATTAGAAATGGGAAAGAAACGTTTGCTGATGTCAAGACCCCAAACATGTCAAGATCACACTTTTTTTTTTCAGTAATGAACACTTTGTTCATTCTATTCTATTGTCATTTGTTTAATTGTAAAGAGTGATCAATGAGGGAGGATTATGTAAAGATTAGGTTTTATTTATGGTTAATATGCCACTAATATAATTAATACTGCTTTATACCAATTCCCTTCCATTCAATGAATTACAGTGAAACCTAATTTTAAAGAAGTAATTATTAATTATTACTGCTATCTAAGTGTAGCTGTGAAGGCATGGAGTATTTAGCGCTATTATAGTCAAACTCATCTGAGCACATTATCCTCAGATCACTTAAAAACACCTAAAGGGAAATTGAGAATGTGAACATGAGCAGCCAGTGTTTGATAGTGATGCATTAAAGTATAGGAAATAGCAGCTCCCTGAATGTGATTTGATGAAGGATTACACTACAATCATTTATGCAAAGTGTGTCCGGTGGTGTTGGCAAGCCTCATGACGTGAAATTTAAATAACCTGCCGGGGCCACACAAAATGTGGTATCATTTTGTTGTCAGAGGAAAAGAAGCTTTCCTTTAACAGCAGTATCACCTGACAAGAACCATTAGAACAAGCCCCCTATCACTCTCCCTCACAGACACACAAACACACTCACATTTCTTTCACAAATGTACCCATCTGGTTACATTCTAATCCAGACCCGTAAATCCATTTAATCCCCTTGGCAAAGTGATCCCAGAGCTATTGTGCTGGTAACACTACACCAAAATGCACTCAACTGTCTACCAGACGATATGCATCTCTGATGGTCTTATGCTGTTGATCATGCACATGGTGTATGGCTCATGGAGCATAATTACATCACTATTCAAGTTGATGCCTCACTGAATGAAACATCTGGTGTGTGACAACCAAAGTAAAAAACAGGGATGGATAAATATGTTAATTTTCTTTTCACTTTGCTTCATGCAGTCATAATTCTGACACATCAACTCAAGTGTGGTTCTCCTACAGTGAACGCAAATGCTCAAAGCAAAAGTGACAGAAAAACTAACTATGCACAGTCTATTATATATGATACCATCAGCCAGCTGGACAAAACGCTATTGTGGCACACACACGTCTGGTCCACTGTGTGTCTGAATGCAGTGGGCTGATGAGACATGGCAAGAGCAGGAGGGAGTCTATGTGGCATTTCACATGAAGAAATGTGTCACGTTCCCTTGACACGACATCCGGCTAAAGATATAATCTATTTGAACTGCCATTAAACAAAACAAGTTTTAACATCTTGTTCAGCCTAATCAACATTTATGGTCCATTTCTAATGGTATATGCGTTATTTGTGTTAGCTGTGCGTTGTTAGAATCATATCCTATGTATCCATTAAATCTTTAACCGATTTACATGGAACCCCACAAATAATGCATATTAGTCACGTTTGGGCACATAGATGTATTTCAAAACATAAATGAATTGCTTCATCCTGGCTTGTACCATGGTCCCACTTAGTTTGACACGCATTATGAAATGTGTGTAAGGTGGCACCCCCTCCCTGGGCTGTCTATTCAGCGGTTGTGGAGAGGAGGGACTGTCGGATAGTCGAACCTCAGATTCAGGAAAAGCAGTGTGGTTTTCGTCCTGGCCGTGGAACGCTGGACCAGCTCTATACCCTAAGCAGGGTCCTGGAGAGTGCATGGGAGTTTGCCCAATCAGTCCACATGTATTTTGTGAATCCGGGGGGGGGATCTCCGGGAGTATGGAATACCAGGCCCTTTGTCACGGGTTTTTATGCCCCTGTACGACCGGAGTCAAAGCCTTTAGTAAGTATCTGTGGTATCACCGGTAGTAAGTCAAACGCGTTTCCACTGAGGGTTGGACTCCACCAAGGTGTCCGTCTTGGTGGCCTTAGGATTGCATCTCTGCTTTTCGCAGATGATGTGGTCCTGTTGGCTTCATCAGGTTGTGATCTACAGCTCTCACTGGAGCGGTTCACAGCCGAGTGTGAAGCGGTTGGGATGAGGATCAGTGCCTCCAAGTCTGAGACCATGGTT